GCACCTCGACCTTCTCCACGTTTTCCGCCAAAACTGGTTTGTTGCTGGCCCATACCGTGCCACTAAAAAAAAAAAGAACTCAGTGAGGTAACAACTCTAACAATGGTTACTGTTCGTTTCGGGCTTTCATAAGGATAACTTTCAAAGAAGAAAAAGCTACAGAAGTCGGGAAAGTCGAAAAATCAAGCATTTAAATCGACAATATTTGTTACCAATTAGTGTGTGACTTTCAAATGAGAAAGGCACTGTTTAACCGAATACAAATATTTGCATATATAAGTTGCCAAAGAAAGTTCTGTCTTGGGAGTTCAAACTGATTTTAGACAATTAATCATTTATTTTCCATGTTTATTGAATCAGCGGTTTTTTAACGGTAAGACTACACGCCAAATACAGACATTGTATGATTCTAAAGTCTGCATCTTCTCGAGTAACTTAGCGACACCAACACTATGTGATCATTGAAAAATGAGACGAGTTAATTAGTGTCCAAAGCATTCGAACAAAACTCCCGCTACTGCCATTTATGAATGGACTGAATATGACAGAAGGGAATTTTTGCTAACAAGACCCGTCAATCAAGAACTTTTTGTCGGAATAGAAGTGTTAATTCGGTACAATCAGAGCAACATCACTTGTTCATAAATGTAAGGTAAAAGTAGTTTAAGAAGTCGCAGGCACGTATTACCAATTTTTTCCGTATTCTGAAGAAGGAATAACTGCGGTACATTGCGCTAAATCCAGTTCAGTTTCTAAACCCAGTTCCTTTATATTCTCAACACGAATAAAACCGTGCGTTGGCAGCCTCCCAAACAGCGTTCATTCGCTCACCGAATACCTGACGTTGGTTTAATAGTTGTTCCAGACAGACTTCTGACTTTATCGGAGTTCTACGCTGTTCTTTTAGTTGCTGCTTGAGGTCGTTATTCCGTAACACTTTTAGCCGTAAAACGATCAATGGCAGACACTATCGCAGTTAAAAGTGCCCAGCTGCAACTTGTAACTCCTGCCGTCTTTCTCCTTTACTCGTTGGCTGAGTAAGATATTTGTCTTTTTTCCTCTTAAACCTTTCTGGAGCTGATCAGTTTTCTTCACGAATTTAGCTGATTTACATATCTGGGTAGTTCATGGTATTTTCAACTTTTCGTTCTAGTCAGTTTAGTGTTCACGCTTCTTATTTGGGTAATAGAATGACGAAATCTAAAAACTTCTTGAAATCTTTTGCTTTAAAACTACTTCTTCTGCAAACAGCTTCTGATACGTAAAAGTTCAAGTTCAAAAAATTAAAGTTTTTTCCAACGGCAGAAATTCTAGTTTACTTAAGAGTAGTTTTAACATTTAAATTGGCTGTTGCACTACTTTTTAGCAATGCCGTTATAGTTTAATTGTAATAATAGATTAAGAAAATTAAACATTGTTATGCAAACGTTGATAGAAAGTGCAAAAAAAAAAAAAAAAAGAAAATTAAACATTTACACAATTTTTTGCTAGTTTTGTCTGAGACTGGTATAGAAAATCAACGCGCGTCAGCATGAAGAGTTCTTTATAGTTTTTTTTTTTAATGTGCTTTCTGCATTCATAATTTGTTTTGATGTTGGTTTACATTGCTAGGTGACTCTTGGTTTTTTAGTTTACTTGAGAAACAAGCCTAGGCAGCCATACAAAGTTATCAAATGCCGTTTTGTAAAGTTAGCTCCTCTGCCAGATTATTGCATATTTGTTGTGTCTTTTGAGTGTTTACAAAATTTTTATAGAAACAGGTTAAGGAGAACTGCAAAAGAGTTTTAGTTGTCGAACAGCTGAATTTGCACATCTTCAGTAAATTTTTCAGATTAGAATACGCTATATTTTTTCGGTAAAATTTAAAGGTTTCACAATTGTGACAAACCTCATCTGAGTTATGGACCGTACACAAAACTGATTAGGTTCATTAGTGAGTAGGAAGAATGCTAGCAATTTTTGACTTATAAATTAAGTTTACCTGTAAGAAGAATGCTGACAGTATTTGACCTGATCTGAGAACTTTTTCTGTCGCAACTACCGACAAACCCTTTAATCGGGGAACAATCTGTTCCTCTATAGCGTCTCTGGTGGGATTTGAATCCTAACTATTGATGACTCACTTACTGCAAACGATTGTGGTTGGCAACGTCTGCAGTATTCGTTTGACGACTGTGCTTATTGTTCAATTATAACTCTGACTTCTCACGAATTTTGATAGTATCGATATTTTGCAATACGCAACAAGAAAATTTTACAATAGTATGAAAGGAATCACCGAGCACCAGTTCACTCCTTTCATACAATAGGTTAGAATGAGCACACTGTATGAACAACACAACAAAGCTGCCTAATGGGCATGGTATTAAGAGAAGTGGAGTCAATCAATGAACATAATAGAAGAGTTGACACTGATAACAATTCTCCTGATCGTAGTTTTGATGATAGTGCTACTGATGATAATGTCGATGACAATAACTATCCCGACTCCTTCAGTCAGCTGTTTATATAGCGTTTCTTGAGCAGGCAGATCAGTTATTTGCTCTCCAGGAAGATATAAGGTTAGCATAATCGTGAATAAAGTTGAGAAGATGACAAGAGAAGTTGCAGAACAGCAGTTCATTTAAGGTGGATTTATTAGCGCAACTATGCCGGCAGACTCGAGATAATACAAGAGCGTGAAATATGTGCTCATTCTCAGGACGTTCAAAGTCACAACACCTATCTATCCCATTACTGCATAGCAGGAAAGTGACCTTAGTGGTGTCTGCAAATGTGATCAAAGATTCAAGCTGCTGCTTAACAAAGGATAGCACTAGCATAAGTTTTGAATTACCAAAGTCTTTGAAGGCGATGTAGGTCGTGGCACCAAAGTGGCCGAGCGAACACGTATATAAATGGAGTGCCCAAACCAAGCATACTACCTAGGTCACGCCACCGGTAGGATAGGTATAAATAGGGAGTGGCAACTAGCTAATTTTAGTGTGTTTCATTACAATCAAATCTAGTTGATTGTCGGCAGTTTTCTCATAAAGTTTTCTTGCTTGTAACGTGCTCATAGGCAGTTAGTAGTGTGTTTATTACCTTTTTTTTGTGAAGGATTCTTTACTTATTATATCATTTTACTGTGTATAATAGGATTTAAATCGCTTTAAGTAATTTCTTATATT